CAGGGTGATTAAAAATATCTGTAAAGGACAGGTTTTTCAAAGTACAAGATTGGTAAATCGTACATTGTCAGGACACTCCTCTCAAGTGAAATGTAGACCAAGTGAGTTGTTCATTAGGATCACATGGGAATTCAATTATATGGAGGAAGAGATGCTTTATGTAAGGTATATTACAATTAGCAACATGTGTAAAGTATGCACGAGATTTATCTGTACTCAGATGGTTTAACAATAGTTTTAAGGTTTATTTAGTTAAGGCAAGTAATATAAAGTTAATATAAATAAACCAAAGTAAAATAATTTTAACAAAATTGAAGTTAAAGTAAGGCAAAGCTGGGCAGCTTAATCACTTGGAATGCATATGTGTGGGGTGCCATGGACACTACCAGTGATCTAGACAAGCATATAGGCAACAAGTATCACCACCTGCAGAAATGTGAGCTCTGGGTATTGAAACTTGAGCAGTGTTGGAGCACATCTGCAAGGTTGAAAGCTATGTTGATTGCACATCAGGCAGAAAAGGAATGAGTGACTGTCAGGCCTTCCAAGAGAACTAGGCAGGTACTGCAGGCATTCTTTGTGGCCCCATTCACAAATCAGTTTTCCCTTTTGGACACAGCTATACAGGAGGGGAGGAAGAAGAAGAAAAGAACAACGGTTGCACAATTCTTTAGTTAGGGGAACAGACAGATGTTTCTGTGGTGGTAGGCAGGGCTCCAGTATGCTATGCTGCCTCACTACCAGGGTCAAGGATGTCATGGAAGGGCTGCATGTTATTCATTTGAGAGAGAGTGAACAGCCAGAGGTTATAGTTTGTGTCAGTGCCAATGACTTAAGTAGGCTGGGGAATGAGGTCAGGAAATTGGGAAAGAAATTGAAAGTAGACTATCCACAGTAGTAATCTCAGGATTATGTCCAGTTCTGCTTGCTAATGAGCATAGAAATAGAGAAACGATTGATTGAAGGTGTGGCTTTTCAGGCATCAGGATCACATCTAGGGCAGGTAAGACCTGTTCAAGATGGATGTGTTTCACCTTAGCAGATGGGGACTAAAACCTCACAGGCAGTATTGTCGAGTGCTGTTTTGTTGGGAGGGTTTGAAGTATGTTGATGGAGAATGGGAACACAGATTTGAGGGAAGCAAAACCTGTAAAGGAAGTAGAAAAGTAGAAGGCAAAAACAGAATATAGGTAAAGCTTAGACAAGCATCAAATAGGATCAGAAAATAGAATAATATTAAAAAATCAGAATTGAAGACACCCTATTTGAATGCATATATCATTCACAGAAATGTTGATGTTTTGAACACACAAATTGAGGTAAATGGGTAGGATTTTAATTGCCATTACAGAGACATGACTACAGGTTGACTAAGACTGGGAAGTGAATATCCAAGGATATTTGGCATTTAGGAGGAATAGGCAAAAAGAGAAAGGAGATAAGATCACATTCTTAATAAATGGTGCGATCACTACATTAATAAGAATCTTAAATAAAAGGATCAAGATTTAGAATCAGTTTGAATGGTGCTAATAAACTTGCTGTAAATTTGGGAAATAGTGACCATAAGATGATTCAATTTTGCATCAAGTTTGAATCCCTCATACTTAATTCTGAAGCTAAAGTCTTAAAACTGAAGAAAGGAAGTTGGGTTGGCTATGGTGCATTGGGAAAATGCTGTAAAGATTTGACAGTAGAGAGACATACTACACAGTCTATGAAGATATATATGTTTTGAAGGCACGAACACACAAGTTAAAGATTCCATTAGATCAAGGCAGGTGACTTATGATAAAGCCTGAGAAGGTCATAAACCTGAGGATTGGGTACAGTTTAGAACGTAACAGAGGACCAAGAAACAGATTAAGAAAGGGAACTGAGAACATGGATGGACATTTATAAGGAATTTAAAAGCTTCCTGGGATATGTGGAGAGGAAAAGATTAACTAAGACAAAAATTGCCCATTAACAGCAGGCTATGTGATAAAAAGACCTGGTGTGTGGGGTAGGGGGCTAGGACATGAGAGAGTTTAGGCCCTAAAATTACTGAACTCGATATTGAATCTGAGGGACTGCAGGAACACTAGAGCAAGCCAGAGACAGAGATGTTGGCCAGGGAATAGGGAATACACCAGGCCTTGTTATCACATAGACTGCCCTACACGCCACCTGTTGTTAGTCATTAACAGTCCCCATTAACAATTGTTCACCCTCCCAGCCAAATCGTTATCAACTCCTTTGTCCAACTGTTCTTCTCTCGCTTTGGGCTCTATCCTATTGTTTACTCCCTACCCCACCCCCCCCCCCTCTTCTGCATATAAACTGACATTTTCCCAACTACCATCAGTTCTGAGGAAGGGTCTCCAGACCCGAAACGTAAACTCTGATTTTTTCTTCACAGATGCTGCAGACCTGCTGAGCTTTTCCAGCAACTTCTGTTTTTGTTGTGCAGTTGTATAGAGTCATAGTGTCTTAGTGAGACCTAACGTCGAGGATTGCATATTGTTTTCTTAGTTTTAAATAAGGAGGGATACACTTACTATAGAAAGAGTGCCATGAAGGTTCACCAGATTAATCCCTGAGATGGTAGGAACGTTTTTTGAGAAGAGGTTGGGGAGACTGGGTAAGTATTCTCTTGTTTCGTAACATGTAGTTTAGCATTTCCAAGAATGACCGGGGACCTGACTGAAATTTACATAATACTCACAGGGTGTAACATGGTGGATGTAGATGCTTCCCTTGGCTGGTGATTCATAGAATAGAATCCCTACACTGTGGAAGCAGGCCATTCAGCCCATCAAGTGCAGACTGATCCTCCAAAGAGCATGCCACCCAGACCTACTCTATCCCTGTAACCCTGCACTCCCCATGGCTAACCCACCTTGCCTGCACATCCCTAGGCACTATGGCCAATTTAGCATGGCCAATCCACCAAACCTGCACATCTTTGGATTGTGGGAGGAAATCAATGCACCCGAAGGAAACCTACGCAGACATGGAGAGAATGTGCAAAGTCCACACCAACTGTCGCCCGAGGATGAAATCAAACCCGGGTCCCTGGTGCTGTGAGGCAGCAGTGCTAACCACTGAGCCACTGTAATTCAGGGATCATAATCTCAGAATTAGGTTTAGGCCATTTAAGATTGAGATAGGGAGGACTTTTTTCATGCAAAGGCAGAATTTTTTACCCCAGAGGGCTGTCGTAGCTCAACCATTGAGCATGTTCAAGGCAGAAAATCAACATATTTCTGAAGATTAATGACATAATTGGAAACAGTGTGGGAAAGTGATGTTGAGGTAGATGATCAGCCATGATCTTATTGAACGGTAAAACAAGCATGATGGGCTGATTGCCTTACTGCTGCTCTTATATACTGCCCAGTTAAAGCTAGGCATAACAAATTCAGATTGCAAAATGTGACATTGATAAAATATGCATATATGGGAAACCTTTCAGGCATAACTTCTAGGTTGCACCCTTGAAGAAAACTTCAAGATATTTTAACTGAAATCATATTTCCTTTTTCATAGGAAAAAGAGTAGACTGTTCACTAATTTTACTTGTGTTCAGTTCCTAAATTGAAACAATCAATGCCAGTTTCCAAATTATCTATTTTTTTTCACACAAAACTAATTTGAAAATAGCCTAATTCCCTCATTGGCTCATCAATGTACTGCTACAGAAATCTATCTCGTACATACTTCAGGAATTCATCCTCTACAGTGTTAGTGCTGATTTGGCTAACCCACTCTGTATAAACCAAGTCAACCTTATTACTGTGTTACGCACATTACTTGCATCCCTATGATTTGTCCGGATAGTACACAAAACAACACTGTTTACTGTATCTTGGTACCTGTGAGAATAAAAATTAAATCAAATACAAAAAAAATTCTCTTTATACTGCACTAATCTTACCACTACAGTTTGGTTGCCTCTGAACAAACTTCCACCAATGGTTGCTACCCCTTGCTGTTTCTTAGCACCATGTAAAGAAATACAAAAATAAACCTGGGCTGATTGATTTGACGTTCATCAGCTTAGATACGTATTAGGTTAATGTGCCTAAAATTAACTCAAAGATGTCATAGCAAAACAGGTTAAGTCACTTCATTAACAAATACTCTGAAAAATCGATGTCGAGCCAAGAGAGGAAATGTTAGGTGAAGTAACTACAAAACTTGGACACAAATATGGGCTTTAAGAAGAAAAGGGAAGCCGAAAAGTTTAGAAAGAATGTTGCAGAGCGTAGGAATTAGAAAATTGTGAACTAGCTACCAATTGCAGGGCAAAGCAAAGAGGGATTGGGATGTTCGAAAGGAAACAAAATTCTCAGAGGGTTGTAGCATGTTATTGAGATAGAGTGGGTGAGGACAGAAACTAAAAGTTTGATGCATCTATTCATCATCTACTTGAGCTTTATTTTTAACCTACCGTATTTTGTTACAGGGTCAAAACATCTTCAAGCCTTCTTTCTTTTACAAACTGTAGCCCTTGCTCAGTCAAGTTCCAATTGCCTTTTAATGCACTTTACACAACAGGTCATCCACTACTAGTATTATTATTATTTGCTCCCTTGTGATCAACTGTGTGTTAAACATTACCTGATGTGATTCAGTATCTGTACTCTGGGAAGGCAATGTTTGCCACACATACAGCATATGTAGGCATTAGTTGAGAAGCTGCAGAGTTTGGTGGTTTCTGTATTCTCTGAGCTATTTTCTCATCCAGCTAAACTCCGTCCATGTAGTCACCCTCCAGAAGCCCTGACTGTTAATAGTAATCTCCAGTTGTGTTTATCATCTTACTTTATTCATTCATGGGATATGGACATTGGTGGTTGGGTCAGCATTTATTGCCCATTCCTAATTCCTTTTGAACTGAGAGACTCTCTTTTTAATTGCATATTTTTATTCAAACCTATGTTCTCTGATTTCTAGTCCAGTGTCACTACTACATACACCACTGGGTCCCCTTAAATATCTTCTTTTTCTTACAGGTGGCCTCATAGTGAATGTATGGCCACACAAAAGGTTGTGACCCCAGTGGCCCATTCACTATACAAAGGTCTTTGGGTACACAGTTATCATCCATATGGTGAATATGGACAAGGCATCATAGATGGCATTGGCTTTACAGTTAGCGTATGCAGATATAATTAGCTGGTTCTAGAATCTCTAAATTGGCCATCTTGTCCTGCTAAGAAATGCTGAGGATACACATGAGACAGGAATTGCTCAACCTTTACTTCTACATGGCATATGTTTATCAAGTCTCATTTCTGTTGATGTGTGTACAGAGGATGCATATTTGGCAAAGTCAGTTTGCTGTTCTCCATCATGTTGCTTTTATTCTAGACACTCTTACTCAGTTTAGACATCACAACTGCATTTTCTGTAATGTGTGTTGATTTCAGCATTAATTGACAAATCGCTGATAATTTTGGAGCCTGGGAATGTAAATCTATTAACAATCTCCAACAGCACATTATAATGCTGATTGATTGCAATATAGCAATGTTCTGGAATATCATCATCATGAACTTTTGGAACATATAAGATCTAGAGGCGACTTGACATGGTGCTGAAAGGATGATTCCCTTTGTGGGAGAGACTTGAAGTAGGAAACAGTATAAAAATAAACATTCATACATTTGTGATGGAGATTAGAGTTACTTTTCTCTCTAGGGGTCATTAGTCTGTGGAATTCTCTTGCCTATCATTTAAAGTTTATAAGGCTGATTGGATGAATTCTTGACTGACAAGGAATTCAAAAGGTACAGTGGTTAAAAAAAAGTAAAGGCTACAATCAGATCAACCATGCCTTCACCACATGTTAAAGCAGATTGAGGAACAAGATATCTACTCATACTCCTGTTTCAAATGCTCATAGGTTCGTATCTTTGTGAGATCGACTATGAATGAACTGGTCATATGACAAAATGAATAATATGTGAAAGAGTATTGATGCCAGAATACAATCCTGTTTGACCTAACTACATATCTCAGTGGTTTCCAATGTTGATCTGTCATAGCTGATCTTACCCATCAGATTGTGTTGGAAGGTAGAGATCACATGAGTAGCTTTGGCAAGCAACCAGTTTTCTTCAGCTGAAATAAATGACATCTGCTCTCATGATACAATGCCTTGATGTGCTTGATGAAAGCAAAATATTGTGGCCTCCTTTATTCATGGAATTTCTGTTGCAACAGCTAGACTGAAAAGCAGCATTCCCTTTCATTTGCTTTCCGGCTGCGCTTGCCTCTGAGGCCATAAAAGAGACCTTGCCTCTACTCAGGAATTAGAGGCCTAATCAAAGGCAACCTGACATTTAAAAAACCCCCAAATCACTCTTCTGTGGTTTTTAGTATCAACTATAACGTTTTGTATATGTATTGAGAATTTTGTCACTGGGATTTGTTTCAGCCAAGAGCTTTATCTCTTACGATAATTGATGAACATTCACATTTTTGTGTTCCTTTATATTTCAGAAAATTTTCAGTGAACTTGGAGGAGTTGAAAGCTTGGCACAGGTACATCTTTATATTTAATAACGTTTAACTTTAAATCAATTCAATTAATAGTTATTCAAATACTTAATATAATTGTATATTTTTCTTTCTGTGTAGTATATGGAAACAGTGGCAAACGGATATCTCGGATATGGAGGACAACAGTTTGTTGTTGACAGATTGGTCACTGTGACAAGTAAGTTCAAAACCTTTTGCTACAAGCAAACAATGAAACTTACTGGTGAAACATTTTCCTCTCTTTTTAAATTTAGAGCATCAGGGCAGCTTATTTACATAAAATCTTATCTCTAAGTCAGAATTTTAAAAGTTCAGATACCACTCCATGGGTTGAGCACCGACCTAGGCTGTTCCTTGAATGCAGAGCTAATGGAGTGCTACAGATGCTAAACTGATGTCCTATCTGCCAGTATAGCTGGATGTAGAAGAAATATTGGGGTGCAGAACTTGGATTTGTAAATCCATAACCCACCCATTGGCAAGTTTGGAAAATGCATTCAATAAAACTGATAATTTATATGTTGATGCTGGATAAAATGGTCAAAAACTCAACCAAATTCACCAGTGGCCTTACGGAAAGTGACCTGTCACCTCAATCTACTTGAGTCTATGTGTGACTGTAGCCACAAACTATGAATTAGGTTCTAGCTGATCATCATTGTTCAATCAACACCAAAACGCATCAACTGGACATTCATACTCTTTGTAGGACCATCCTATGACTATATCGGCTGCTAGCTCAGTTGGATGGATGGCTAGCTTGTAATGCAGGGTTTGTAATAATTGCAAGACTTTATTTTGTTATTTTTATTTATTAGTCCTATTTATGCTATACAATTTATATTTGCATTTGGGAATATATTTTTAAGTCTGGTTTATTGCATACTTTGTGGCATTTAGGTAAAAGTATGAACTATAAGCTAAAGCAAGCAGGAGGAAAGTGCTGAATCTTATCAAAAAGTGGATGTGCCATTTTTGGCAAATTGCATAGAGGGTTTCTCTCTGTGAATCCTAATATGTTTTCTCATGCTATCTTCTGAACTTGCCTCATTAACAATGCACCACACCACCATGGTGGCTCACTGATTGTATTCTCTTACCCACCATAGGCAGAATAACTGGCCACTTTCATGGTCAAGTGCTGGCAGCTGGCAGTTGCCTTGCATGTTTTGCCTTATTTACCCTTGACATGTAGGCCAGAGAATAATTAGCACCTACTTTGCCAATTGTGAGCCGAAGGTCCTGCTGGATGGCAGGTGCATGCAGTCACTGTATCACACAGCCTGTGATGTCAATGATTGATGAAGATCTGGAGGAGCAAGCAGTGAGCTGAAACCACCAGGTTACCACTCAAACTTACATGTCTCAAATTGTTGCCATTTAGTTTCTATGCGGCAGGTGGAAGAATGGGAGATTGCAGAAAAATAAGGCAGGATTGCATAGTAATGAAGATGCAAATAGACCTGTCACTACTCACTAACCAGAATTTTGTCCCACTGCTCAACACTTGGTTGAAAATTCTGACTTTTTTCCTGTTGATAGTAGAATCTCCTCACTGCCATTCTCATATGATTCTCCCAAACTTTTTGACAATGCCTATGTTATTCAGGGGCTGAGAAGATTCCGTCCATCTCTTGCAAAATATAATCTGCACCAATTTCCAGTGATTAGAAATTTTGTCAATAAATCTTCAGATTGCAGGACAGTTTCAATATTTATTCTTTAAATATTAGTTGTACCATTCTTCTTTAGAGTTCAGGCTAAACCATCCACTGACTCTTTATCAGACTCAGTTAAAATACTTTGTTTCTTAATATAGATTTGATTTTTAGAGATTTTTAGCTTTAAATATCTAACTCTGCATAGCAGTTCTAGTGATTAAGCAATGATCAAAATGGACCATAAAGAGTCAACTCACGAAACATTGTTTTTCATTGTGCTTGTACACTATGCTTTTGAAAATAGGCTTTGTAGTTTACTTAAGTATAGAAGAAAGCAAAATTCTCATTTGCACACCAGAGCATGTTATCTCTGAAAATCCACTGTTCACCACCTGGTATTTTTCCTAACAGTGTGAGTTATGTAGTGAGAAGATAAATACAGAGTTAAAAGCTTTCAAGCCACATGTCTTTTGAGAAAATGTTTGATGCATATTTATATACGAGTTATGCATATTGATTTAAGAAATATTGCGCAAATCACATTCAGTAAGTTCCACACTTGCTAAAATCAAGAATTCTTGAGCAATATTGCATTACCTCTTGAAAAATTTCATTTGAAAAGGTTCAAATCACAACCTGATAAAAGAAATTTTCAAAAACTTTGTGCAATTATATTGATTTCCAGTCCTCCTCACTACATTCCCCCAAAAATGAAATCTTTATATTTGTAATCCATGTTCATGACTTGTGTCGTAACCCCAAGATTACTACTCTCATTGCCATTTTTTAATTTGATTCTTAATTTCTGATTTTCCTTGCATAGCCTTTCCGAATTTATGTAATATTCAGCTCCTCTAATCTTTCTGCAAAAAGTATACAAACTCACATTTTGCCACATTATGTTCCATCTGCCAATTTTTTGCTCACCCAATTAACCAGTCTGTATTCCTCTGCAGACTCTTTGTTTCATTCTCACAACTTGCCTCCCCTCTACTTTTCTGTCATCTTCAAAATTGGCGGTAGTATATTCACTTTCTTCATCCAAACCATTAGTATATATATGGTGAACAATTGTGGCTCCAGCACTAAAGTAGCCTAGTGTGCAGGTTTGTTGAATGTCTTTTGAAAATCCAAATATATTTTGTCTCTTACTTTTCCTTTAGCTATTATGCTTGTTATCTCCTCAAAGAATTGTCATAAATTTGTCATGTATGATTTCCCCTTCATGAATCCATGCTGAAACTGCTCAACTATATAATGTAAATATTCTATTGTTACATCATTTATAATAGACTAACATTTTCCAAATGACAGATGTGAAGCTACTGGCCTGTAGTTGCCCTGCAGTTCTCTTTGTCTCCTTCCTTTTTGGAATGAGAATGTTACGTTGGCAGTTTTGCAATCCTTTAACACTTTTCCAGAATCCAAGGATTCTTGAAAGATTACTGCCAATGCATCCGTTATTTCTGCAGCTACTTCCTTTGATATTCTAGGATGTATCATACAAGGTCCATGGTACTCATCAGTCTTTAGCCCCATTACTTTCCCTACTACTTTTTCTTTAGTGATAGGTATAGTATTTTTTTCCTCTTGCCTTTTTTCCCCTTGATTATTTAATATTTTTCAGATGTTGTTAGTATATTCTCCTGATGCAAAGTAATTATTCAAACTCCCTTACCATTCCCTGGTTTACCATTGTTATTTCCCCAGCCTCATTCTCCAAGAGGCATGTGTTCACTTTGCCCTCTCTCTTCCTTTTTACATATTTAAAGAAGCTCTCACACGCTGTTTTGATATTACTTAGAATAGAAGAATCATTACAGGGTAGAAGCAGGCCATTCAGCCCATTGAGTCCACACCGCCCCTCAACCATCCCACCCCACCCCCTACCTTATCTTTGCATTTCCCGCCCTTGACACTATGGGCAATTTAGCATAGTCAAACCACCTAACATGCACATCTCTAGACTGTGGGAGAAAACCGGAACACTAGGTTGGAACCCACGCAGACAAGGGGAGAATATGCAAACTCTACACAGTTGCCCGAGGCTGGAATTGAACCCGGGTCTCTGGTGCTGTGAGGCAGCAGTGATAACCACTGAGCCACTGTGCCGCCCCTACCTGCTACTTTACTCTCAAAGTTTATTTTATGTCTTTATCATTTTTTTGTCATCTTTTGTTAGTCTTTAAAACTTTCCCAAATCGTCTCCTTTACCACTAATATTGCCGCATTGTATGTATTTTCTTTCAATTTGCTACTGTCCCTAATTTCCTTGGTTAGTCATTGTTGGTCTATTCCCTTTTTAGAAATCGTTCTTCTTCACTTGCATATATCTTTGTTGTGAATCATGAACTATTTTCTTAAATGTCTGCCATTATTCATCTTCTGCTGAACTCCTTTTTAAGGATAGAATCCCTACAGTGAGGAAGCAGGCCATTTTGCTTATCGAGTCCACACCGACACTCCAAAGAGCATCCTGTCCCTGTAACCCTGCATTTCTCATAGCTAATCCACCTAGCCTATGCATCCCTGGACACTATGGGCAATTTAGCATGGCCAATCCACCTAATCTGCATATCTTTAGACTGTGGGAGAAAACCAGCACTCCCAGAGGAAACTCACACAAATTCCACAACAGTCACCTGAGGAATTGACCATGGATCCCTGACACTGTGAGGTAGCAGTGCTAACCATTGTGCTGCCCCCGTCTATTCTGGCCAAGTCTGCCCTCATTCCTTTTTAATTTGCACAGTTGTTCCTGAGCCAAGTTTTTCAATTTCAACCTGAATACTAAATTCTACTAGATTATGGTCACTATTTCTTCAAGGGATCTTTGACTCTGAGATCACTTAATAAGCTTGTCTGAGTAAACATTACCCAATCCAAAATAGCCGCATCCTGGTTGAATCTACCAGATAAAAATATAACATACTCTTCAAGGAAACTATCCCAATACACTGTGAATTATTCCGCATGTCTACCTCTGCCAATTTGAATTTCCCAGTCTATGTGAAGATTAAAGTCACCTATGATTAAAGTACTGCATTTTTACATCCCCTCATTATCTCTCAATTTATTCACTGTTCTACAGTTTTGTTACAGTTTGAAGGCCTATTGACTACTCTCACCAGTCTCTGCCAACCCTTGATATTTCTTATGTCCAGCCTTATGAATTGTACATCTTCTGATCCGAGATCATCTCTTGTTGTCATACCGATTCCCGTTTGGACTCACAAAGCTATCCCACCACCGTTTCCTTCTTGCCTGTCCTTTTGAAAAGTCACATACCCTTGAATATTTAGTTCCCAACTTAGATCTCATGTAACCACATCACCGTAATGGCTATCAGATCATATCAATTAACCTCTATTTGTGTCATTAATTCATTTATTTTGTTCTGAATACTACATTCTTATGAGTAAAGAGCCAATATTTTATCTTTTTATTATGTTTTCCCCCTTTAACCCTATTTGCCGCTGTTTTTCTATATTTGTGTGCTCTGTCTTTTCCTGTCCCAATCTGGGTATCATTACTTTAATAATTGTCCTGCAATACAGCTATATCCTTTTGTTTTGTGAGCTTTCATGACCACTCTCCCAAATCCCCAACCCATTTATTTTAAAGCCATCTTTACAGCCACAGTTATTCATTTTCCCAGATGCCAGTGAAGACTGTCTCACCAAAACACCTCCCTTCTACTCCAGTACTGATGCCAGTGCCTCATGAATTGAAACCCATTCCACCCACACTAAATTTTAAGCCATGCATTGAACTCCTTGATTCTATTTACAATATACCAGTTTGCACATGGCATGGGTAATAATCCCGGCATTATTACTTTGGAGTTTCTGCTTTTTAATTTAGTTCCTATCCATTCAAATTCTTTCAGCAGAACCTCCTTTCTGGTCCTATCAATGTCATTGGTACCAACATGGTTGATGGCAATGAATCCCTCCCCTCCCACTAAGTTCCCCTGCAGCCCAGAGGAGTTGCCCTTAACCCTCGCAACAAGCACGCAACACAGCCTTAAGCACTCATTCTTATGGCTTTAGGGAACAGTGCCTATTCCTCCGTTTAATTATACCATCCCCTGTAACTACTAGATTCTTATTTCGTTACCTTAGTTCAATGGCTCCCTTTTGTCACAGATCCATGGTCACTTTGCTCATTTTCCCTATAGTCCCCACGCTCATTCACACAGCTTGCAAGAACGTTGTTACTTTTGGACAATTGTAGGGGCTAGTGCCCCCATGGACTGAAACCTATTCTTTCAACAGAAATCTTTCAGCCATGCTTTGAACTCCTGAATTCTAACACAACCTCTGGTCTCCAGACCTGCCTCACCCCCAGTTGTACCCTTCTATCCCCAACCATATCACAAATTTGAATGACCTAATCTGAGGAGTGTAAATGCCTCCTTATTACAGATGTATTTGCTAGTTTCCACATGCTGCAACAGCACATCACCCACACTGCCATTGCTATCATATTCTATTTAATTACTTACTCTAGAATCCCTGCACATTACATTTTACTGTAATTAGTTGTTTTACACCTGTGTCAAACTTATGCTATTTTTAAGAAAAGAGAGCGAATAAAAGGCTAGAAACCTAAACACAAACTGAATAGCGTAATTTTACTTTAAAGACTAGAATTATTCACCAATCAACTACTTTCTCTGCGCTTGCACTATGTTGTGGTTCGTGGTGTCACTGCAGTGCTGGTTTCAGTGCAGGTAGGCCTCCTGATGTGCACCCTTTATCCTTTCCTACTTACTTCTCACTCAAGAAACTTAATGCACCTATTTCCCTCATACATTGAATTCTCACTTTGATCCAACATTTCAGATATACTCACTCGGCCTTTGTCTCACTCAGGGGAAATCTCCATTCACACTAACTGTGCTCCTTTATTTACTGAACGGTTATAAAATTCCTTTTTTATGTGGAGCTGCAGTTTTTAGCTACAAGAATCAGTATCTCATTTAAGTAAGGGATTTTAGGAGTTGATAGATAACTGCCAGTATTAGACAGCTTTTTTTAATTTGGCTATTTAAACTTGTTTAAAGATTATTAGTTTTAGATCTGAATCTGACTTGAATTCTAAAATTGAACTTGGAAAATACTTACGAGTTGAGTTCCCATTTTGAATCAAGTAGAGGCCAGTGTCTATGGAAATTGTTTGCTCATTGTTTGAATAAGCAGTTTCAATGCAGTATTTGATTGTATCGCACTATGATTCCAGTGCAGTTATTTTGACATTAGTGAGATGTGATTTGATTTGAATTTCATTTCAGATATTTTTCAAAAGCTAGCAGCTGTTGTAGAACAAAGAGAATGGATAATTGCATGCGGAGCCCACAAGGTATGAGATCTCCGTGATACCTGCAAACTTATTCAGTTGCTCACAGGCCTAAGCAATATTCATGGTAATTTGTACTAACATGTTACACAAAATTGTAATTCTCATAATGTGTTTATTCTATAATCATCTATGAAATGCAAATAATGGATTATTATCTTTTAAATTGTCACTTGTTAAATTAATTTAAATTATTCTACTACTTCAGAATTTCCAAGGTAAATTTTAAATTAAATAAACTTCATAAATAGTTTCATTAAACAGTGTACATGCAGACATATGCCCCCCAAAACTCATTTATAGCAAGACTTGCCATGGAAGTAATTTATGCAAGCATTTTATCAACCAACATAAAAACCATGCGTAATTTAAGCCTAACTTAAGTGAGATCCTTGAATCATTTTCTTATACTATAATGAAAACTAATTATTCTTTAGCCTGAATTTTGTGATTGGCAATGCCCACTTTTTGGGCATAAAATTCAATGGCAAATTTGATGGAAATCTATTATGCTGGAACCCACTCCATTTTGCATTCTTTGATTAGGCCTGATGATACAGTAAGCCGCATTCAGTTTATACCAGATGCATGTAAATGAATGTATATTACATAATTACGTTATTAATAGAATTTTGTTATAATTTCTCCTTTTTTGTATATTTCATTTGCCTATCTGAAACTGAAAATTCAGTGTTCTGTACAGTGCACTGGGCGTGCAAATAAATTTATGGGAAAGAACAGTTGGGTAGCAACATTGTGAGGTTATTGCTGAATAATGCCTTGTGTTTCTTTCATCTTTTCCCCCTGTTGACAAAGGACTTTTGTAACTATTGTAACTATTGCTGCCTTTCCAACTACTACTGCCACAATTACACAGCAGGTTTTCTACTGTGCATTACCTTATCTTCGCCTTTTGGCAAAAGAAAGGAATAAATCAATAGAGAGATGCAAGCTATACTTGAGACATTCAATTTCCATCCAACACTACTCCCACAATATAATATTCATGCAGAGATATGTAGGCATGTCTGAAGGGCAGTACCTACAAAGCTTTTACTCATCACTCAAGGAGTTGTGTTTCATGGTGCAAGTGAAGTTATAACTAAATTCTATCATGTGCAAGGCCTGCTGTAGGAACAACAGAAATAGGAGCAGAAGTATACAATCCCTTGGGACTATTCTGTCATTCAGCAACATCAACTCCACCTACCTAGTTTATCCTCATACTCCTTGATTCCCTTTGTGCTCAAGTAAACTAATAATCTCGGTATTGAATATAATCATCAGCTGAGTATCCACAACAATCTGGGACTGAGAATTTCAAATATTCACAATCCTCTGAGTGAATATATTTCTATTCTGAGGCTATGCCATTGAATTTTATTCCCAAAATGTGGGCATTGCCAATCAAAAACAGCAGGCTAAAGAATATTAGTTTTTATTTTAGTGTAAGAAGATGATTCAAGGACCTCACTTAAACTAGGTTTATATTCCGCGTGGTTTATATGTTGTTTGATAAAGTGTTTGCATAGATTATTTCCACAGCAAGTCTTGCTTTAAATTAGTTTGGCTGGGTGCGTTTATTGTCTGCATGTACACTTTTTTCCGAATCTATGCAGCTTATTTAATTAAAAGTAAACCCTGAAAATTCTGAAACAATTTTAGATTGTCTAGGCAAGGGAAATATCCTCTCAGCATCCACCCAATTAACACAGAAGTAAAACAGTGTGGATATTGGAAATCTGAAATAAAAACAGAAAATGGTAGAAATGCTCACAGCATTGATGGGGAGAAAAAGACAGTTTCAAATCTGTGACCTTACATTAGAATTGGGAAAGGTAGAAATGTCAACAAGGATTTTACAGGCTTGCTTTGGGTCTCAATATCAGGACCAAATGTGAGTATTGAATCCACAAAGACAACTGTGAGAGCAAGCTGTGATATTACTAGTGGTAGCCAATTAAGAGACTATCATGGTGACCACTGTCCAATCCATTAAAGTAAACTATGTCATGAAGCTAGTTGCACAATTGGAGGGTTGGGGCGCCTCCATGTTGAGATGCCATGAGAGGGCTTGTAATAAATTTGGACATGGGCCAGATATTATTGAAACCCGAAAGAACTGCGGATGCTGTAAATCAGGAGCAAAAACAGAAGTTGCTGGAAAAGCTCAGTAGGTCTGGCAGCATCTGTGAAGAAAAAATCAGAGTTAACGTTTCATGTCCAGTGAGCCTTCCTCAGAACTGATGGTAGCTGGGAAAATGTCAGTTTATATGCAGAAAATAGGGAGGGGAATGGGGTAGGGAGTAAACAATAGGATTAACATTAGATCCGAGAGAGAGTAGAGCAATTGGATAGACAAAGGAGTTGATAACGACCTGGATAGGAGGGTGAATAGCTGTTAATGGGGATGTTAGTGACTGACAATGGGTAGTGTGTAATGGCAGGCTATGTTATAACAAGGCCTAGTGTGTGGGGTAGAGGGCGAGGACATAGGAGAGTTTAGGCCCTAAAATTATTGAACTCGATATTGAGTCCAGAGGGCTGCGGGGTCCCCAAGCCGAACATGAGGTGTTGTTCTTCCACCTTGCATTGAGCTTCACTGGAACACTGCAGCGTGCCAGAGATAGAGATGTTGGCCAGGGAACAGGGTGGTGTGTTAAAGTGGCAGGAAACTGAAAGCTCAGGGTCTTTGTAGTGAGCAGAATGTAGATATTCTGCGAAGCGGTCACCCAGTCTACGTTTCATTTCCCCAATGTAGAGGAGACCACATTGTGAGCAGTGATTGAAGTAGACTAAATTCTGGGAAGTGCAGGTGAAGTGTTGCTTCACCTGGAAGTTATGTTTGGGCCCTTGGATACTGGAGAGGGAGGAGGTAAATAGACAGGTATTGGACCTTTGCCAGTTGCAGGGGAAGGTGCCGTGGGTCTGTGGGGGAGTGTTGGGGGTGAAGGAAGAGTGGACCAGGGTGTCCCAGAGGGAACAGTCCCTGCAGAAGGCGGACAAGGGAGGGGAGGGGAATATGTGTCTGATGGTGGCATCTCGCAGGAGGTGGCAGAAATGGCATCTGATGATCTTCTGGATGTGGATGCTGGTGGAATGGTAGGTAAGGACAAGGAGAACTCTATCGCTGTTGTGGGAGGGAAGAGAAGGGGTGAGGGTGGAAGTGCGGGAGATGGGTCGGTCCTGGCTGAGGGTCCTGTTGAAAACAGTGCTGGGGAATCCTCGGTTGTGGAAGAAGGTGGACATTTTGGAGGCTCCCTTGTCAAAGTTGGCCTCATCTGAACATATATGACAGAGACAGAGCCAACTAGAGCACAGGTACAATAGGTAATCAGGAATGTTAATGGAATATTTGGCCTTATTTCAAGGGGGTTGGAGTATAAAAGTACAGAAGTTTATTGCAACTGTACAAGGTACTGGTGTGACCACATGTGGAGTTTGTGAGCAGTTTTGGAACTCCTAATTTAAGGAAAGATATCACTTCATTGAAGGCAGTTCAGGGAAGGTTCACCAGGATGATATCCACTGTGGAGGGATTTTCTTATGAACATAGGCTAAGCATGCTGGCGATGTACTCACCTGAGTTTAGAAGAATAAGGATGATCCCATTGAATCATATAGGATTCTTAACAGGCTTGACAGGCTGAATGCTGAAAGGATGTTTCACCTTATAGGAGAGTCTAGGACCAAAGGGCATTGTCTCAGAATTAAGGGGGTGCCAATTTAAGACTGAGATGAGATGGAATTTCTTCTCTCAGATGCTTGAGAGTCTTTGGAACTTCTTGCCATAAAGACCTTTGGGGGTATAGTCCTTTTGTATATTTAAGGCTGAGATAGATTCTTGATCAGTCAGGGACTCAAGGGTTATGGGTAAAAGGCAGGAAAGTGGACGTGAGGAATGTCGGATCAGCCATAATCCTGTTGAATGATGGAGCAGGCTCAAGGAGTTGAATGGTCTCCCCCTGTTCCTATTTCATTAAAGCCAAGTTGACAGGCCCCAGTGATCAGTAGAGTGAACCACCCAGCAGCCTTGTTGGAGCCATGAGGGTGGCCATTACTGCTTATGTCTATTCTATAGGTACTGGAACCTTAGGAAAAGAATGGCCCTTCAGGGAAGGGGCTGGAAGCCTGCCTGGTGGAATCTCCATGTGGCAGAGCACAGTACCAATGATGTTAAAATGCCAACAGGTTCATAAAATGGTCACCAATAGGTCAGTTAGTTGGTGGTCAGTTAATCAAATGGCTGCTTCTCTCCGTTTGTGGCTATTGTTTCTGCCTTTGGAAATATCCTGTGGCAGTGAGAAGTCATATTGTTTACAACACAGTATGAGGCCATTCAATCTATCATCTCTGCACCTTTCAACAAAGATCCAACTACACAAATCCTATTTTCCAGCTCTGACTCAACCACTCTTTCATACAGTGATTCCATACTCCCACCACCCGCTGAGTGAAAAAATATCTCCTCAACTCCCCTCTTAGCTTTGTGACTCTCATCTTAAATCTGTGCTTCCTGGTATTGACTTCCGTACTAATGGAAAAAGATTGTCTTTCCATCCATCCTATCTATGCCCCTTGTAATCTTATACACCTCTATTTAGTCCCTTCCTAAGCTTTGCTGTTCCAACTAAAACAAGCCTAGCCCTTACAATTTTTGCTCAGAGCCCAGACCCTCCAGCCCAGGCATCATCCAGGTAAATCTCCTCTGTACCGTCTCTAGCACAATCATATCCTTCCTATAATGTGGTAACCTGAACTGCATGCAATACTCCAGTTGTGGCTTAACCTATGTTTTATACAGTTCCAGCATAACCTCATTGTTTGTGTAGTCTATGCCTCAGTGACTAAAGGCAGGTATCCCATTTACCTTCTTACTTGCTTTATCTACATGTCCTACTACCTTTTGGGATCTGTGGATATGCTCACCAAAATCCCTCTGATCTTCAGAATTTTTCCAGGCCCCTACCATTCATAGTGTAATTCATCACCTCATTAGTCCTTCCCAAGTGCACCAGCTCAAACTTTTCGTGTTGAATTCGATTTTCCACTGCTCTGTCTACCTGACATGTCCAGTAAAATTCTCCCGCAGTTTACAACTATCTTTCTCGCTATTTACGACCCTTCCATTGATGCATCATCTGCAAACTTCTTGATCATAATTCCTACATTTAAGTCCAATTCATAAATGTACACCACCAACAGCAAGCCAACCAGCACTGACCCTGGGCAGAACCCCACTGGAAACAGACTTCACAGTCACAGACATATCCCCTTACCATCACCTTTAATTCTCTCGGCTAATTTTGGATCCAACATGCCATATTGCCTTGGATCCATTGGCTCTTAATTTCTTGACTAATCTTCCATGAGAGACTTTATCAAAAGCCTTACTAAAGTCCGTGCAGACCAAATCAAATATTACCCTCATCGACACTCCTGGTTACCTCCTCAAAAAATTTGGACAGATTTGTCAAGCATGATCTTCCCTTAAGAAATCCATGTTTACTATACCTAATAAATCCATGTCTCTCCAAATGCAGATATATTCTGGCCCTGGAATTCTTTCTAATAACTTGCCATTGCCAAAGTTATACTGACTGGCCTAATTTCCTTTTCTATCCCTGCCTCCCTTTTTAAATAATGGGACAATGTTAGTAATCTTGCAGTCGTATGACACTTCAGCTGTGGCCAGAGGGAATTTGAAAATTACTGCGAAAGCCCATGATTCACTTTGCTTGCCTCCCTTCTTCCATGGTCCATCTGAGGTGCCGTGTTTCATAAGCAGTGCTTATCTAGTTTAGCTTTGAATTTGTTACAAGTTCTACACTGGCTGATGTGGTCCTGAATCTCATTGTTCGATTTTAGTAGTAGAGTACTTCTCTTGCCTTCTTCAGATTAGAATCGATTCTTAAATGGCTTGCATGGAAGTACTTCTGCATTTCGTTGGTTTCATCTCCTTTGTGATAATGACACTACAATGTACCATCTTTGGCTTTCATTACATCTCTTCAGCTGTAATGATCATGAGGGTGGGATAAAGGGTGCCGACCCGAAACGTTAGCTTTCCTGCTCCTCTGATGCTGCCTGACCTGCTGTGTTCCTCCAGTTCCACACTGTATTGACACAACTGCTCCTTCTCTGAACTCCAGGCCTCTGATTCCCCGCACTCTGATATATGATGAGCTGAGGAGAAATTTCTACATTTGAAGGTTGTGAACCTGCAGAATTTTTTATCCCGAAGGGATACAGATGCTTAGTTTTTGGACTCAGAGTGATTTGAGGGATTTCAAAATGAGACAGGACAGTGGAGTTGAGGTTGAATAACAGTCCTCATTTTGTTGAATGGCAGACAAGACTCAAAGGGCAATATGGTGTCCTTTTTCTGTGGTTCCTATTTCTAAATCCTTATGGCACATGGTCTAATCTTTGCACAGATGTAAGCATATGTAATTTTGTATATCATTTGTAACTGTCTCTCTCCTGAAACAGGTGGAAGGTACAAAGGTTTTAACATGTCTTTCAGGCGCGGTGTCCGACTTTGTATTGATGTTACATATGCCAGGCAAATGTATAAATTAAAATAATTATTAGTTAAGTAAGAAGAAATGAATAATATACAGTAAAGTATTTTAACTTGGGATATTTTTCTTTAGACCCTAGTAAAGCTATTGGCAGCCAAGCACAATAATGTACTACTGGGTGCTCTCCTTGCTCTTACCAGCTTGGCTGAAAGGTATGTCACTTAATTAAATATTATAAAAAAAACTTTAAACAAATGATTGGAACTGAACAAGCTCACAACATTTAGTTTTTTTTTCAGCCCAGAGTGCAGAGTGAAGATAGGTGAACTCACCATTGTAGAAAATTTGTTAACAATTTTACAAGAATATGACTTGCTGTCAAAAAGGTAAGTTAAGATTTTTAAATCTTTTTTAAAAAAAAATTATATCTTTGAAAAAGTTGTTAAGTTTGTGTGGTACTCAAGTACACAAGTTTCCTAAGACAGAACCAAACATTTAGGAGTCCATAAGGTTGTAAGTATAGGGGTAGAATTACGCCATTTGTCCCATCGAGTCTGCTCCGCTATTCAATCACAGCTGATATGTTTCTCAACCCCATACTCCTGCCTTGTCTGTGTAACCTTTGATCCCTTCACTGAGCAAGAACTTAGCATCTATGTTTTAAATATACTCAATGACTTGGCCTCCGTAGCCCTTTGTGAAAATGAGTTCCACAGATTAACCACTCTCTGGCTGGAGAAATTCCCCCTCACCTCCATTCTAAAGGGTCGTCTCTTCAATCTGAGGCTATGCCCTTGCGTCCTAGTCTCTCCTATGAGTGGAAATATCTTATCCATGTCTGTTCTAACCAGGTCTCTTAGTATACTATAAGTTTCAATCAGCTCCCCCCTCATCTTTCTAAACTCCGTCGAGCACAGACTCGGAGTCTTCAACTGCTCCTTATATGATTAGCCCTTCATCCCTGAAATATTCTTGTAGACCTCCTCCGTATCCCCTCCAATGCCAGCACACATCTTTCCTTAGATATGGGGCCCAAAGCTGCTCGCAATATCCCAAATGCGGTCAGATGAGAGCATTATACAGCCTCAGCAGTACATCTTTCTACTATTGTATTCTAGCCTTTTTGAAATGAATACCGCCATTACATTTGACTTCCTAAATTCCAACTGAATCTGCATGTTAACCTTAAGACAGTTCTGAACTAGGACTCCCAAGTCACTTTGTACTTCAGATTTCCGAAGCCTTTCCCTGTTTCGAAAATAGTCTACACCTCTATTCTTCCCACCAAGGTGTACAAGCTCACACTTTCCCACATTGTCTTCCATCTGATACTTTTTTGCCTAATCTGCTAATTTGTCCAAGTCCTTTTGCAGGCTCCCCGTTAACTCAAAACGACCTGTACAACCACCTATATTTGTCTCATCTGCAAACTTAGCAACAGTGCCCTCCATTCCTTTGTCAAGATCGTTAATGTATAATGTGAACAGTTGTGGTCTTAACGCTGACCAGTGCAGAATTGCATTAGTCACTGGCTGCCATCCTGAAGAAGACCCCTTCCTGCCCTACTCTCTGCCTTCTGTCAGTCAGCTAATTGTTCAACTATACCAGTACCTTACCCTTAGTACCATGGGCTCCTATCTTATTTAGCAGCCTCCTGTGCAACACCTTGTCAAAGGCCTTCTGGAAATCCAAATAGATCACACCCACTGGATCCCCATTGTATAACATGCTTGTTACCTCCTCAAAGAATTCCAACAGATTTGTCGGGCATGATCGCCCCTTGATGAAGCCATGTTGTTTCTTCCCTATTTAACCATGCACTTCCAAGTACTCCAAAATCTCATCTTTAAGAATGCACTCTAAAATTTTACCAACGTCCGAGGTTAGGCTAACCAGCCTATAGTTTTCTGTCTTCTGTCTCCTTCTGCTCTTAAGCATGGGTGTTACATTTGCTGTTTTCTGAGATCCCCCCCCTCAACCTGACTCCAGTAATTCCTGAAAGACCATCACCAGTGCCTCTACAATCTCCTCAATTATCTCAATCTCTGGGGTATAGTCCATCTGGTCCAGGTGATTTATCTGCCTTCAGACCTTTCAGCTTCCCCATCATTATCTTCTTAGTGATGGCCACTACCATCTACTCTGTCTCCTAATTCTCTTGAAATTCTGGTATGCTGCTGGTGTCTTCCACTGTGAAAACTGATCCAAAGTACTGATTAAGTTCCTTTGCCATTTGTTTGTTCCCCATTACTACTTCTCCAGCCTCATTTTCCATTGGTCCAATGTCCACTCCTGCCTCTCTTTTGCCTTTAAGATATCTAAAAAAAAACTCGTGCAATCTTCTTTTATATTACTAGCTAGCTTACTCTCATTTTTCATTTTTTTCCCCCCCCCCCGCATTGCTTTTTTAGTAGTCCTCTGCTGGTTTTTAAAGTCTTCTCAATCCTTTGGCTTCCCACTCATCTTCACCACATTGTATGCTTTTCCTTTTGCTATTTTTTGTTGCTTTTATGCTATCCCTGGCTTCCCTCATTATTTGTGATTACTTCATCCTCCCTTTAGTATGTTTCTTCTTCCTTGTGATACTCATGTGGCACCCCCAGAAATTCCTGCCAATGCTGCTCCACTGTCTCCCCTGTTAGGCTCCCCTTCCAATCAATTTTGGCCAGCTCCTCCCTCATATCTTTGTAGCTACCTATGCTCGATTGTAAGACTGTTACATCTGATTTGGGCTTCCCCCTCTCAAACTTCATGGTGAATTCTATCATGTTATGATCATTGCCCCCTATGTGTTCCTTCACCTTCAGCTCCCTAAGCAAGTCTACCTCATTACATACCACCAAACCAAAATTTTCTGGTCTTGCTTTGTTAGTTAATTGCAAGTTGGGGGAAGAGGGAGATGAGTACATCTCCTGATATTTACGACTTTGATCTTTGTTCATTTTCTGGATTCAAGCGCATTTGGATACTCTGATAAAGACCAAATCCAACTACAGTGTAATTGGGGCTCCCATGTCACATGAGACAGAAGAAAGCCTTTGTGGTACTCTGCTGGTTATAGTATAGTCCTGCAATTTAGACTTTTAGTAATGCATCTAATAGACTCAGCATTTCTGGGATGAAAACTATATAAGTTACCTCACTTTCATAGTGGCATCATATTGTGAATTTTATGAAGCCACACATATTAAAAAATAGAATATCATGCTTGCTGGATATCTGAAATAAGAATAGCTTTTGGTCAGAATCTATACAATGTTGAAGTCTTAAAAATCCTTGTGTACCCAAAGCCCAGACATGAATGTGAAAATACTGAATTTTGAGCAGTTCCTTTCTAAGCTTCAGGACATTGCAAGAAACAAGGAACCAGGAACTTTTGAAGACTTTGTTTTGGATGTGTTTGATACTAAGAAACCAGCAAAGATGCCTAATGGTCCATATCCTTTCCACACTTTGGAAAGTCAGATCACAACACTGTGTTCCTCCTCCCAGTTTGCAATCAGTAGTCGAAACGTGAGGACCAAGCACAGAAAGTAGTACAGTGCTGCTCGGAGGCAGCGGAAGAGTTTCTGCAGGACTGCTTGAAAATGATGGACTGGTCCATATTCAAGAATTCAGCGGCCAACCTAGACAAGCACACCACCACCATCACGGAATTCATTAGCAAGTGCGAAGAGGACTGCATGCCAAAGAAGTCAACCCATATGTTCGCCCTAGTTGAACTGGGAAATCCATTGCCTATTGAAGACCAGGCGTGCGGCGTTCAAGTCAAACGGCCCAGACATTTACTGGAAATCCAGATATGACCACAAGGCCATTAGAGTTGCCAAGAGACAGTACCAGACTAAGTTAGAGACCCAAACTAGCCACACAAACTCCCGTCGCTCATGGTAAGGCCTATACGGCATAACAGGACACAAAATGAAGCAGAACAGAATAGCGGACAAAAACGCATCCCTTCCTGATGTGCTCAATACTTTTTACGTTCGGTTAGAGCAGAATGCCAGTGGAATGGTGTCACCTGCCCTGACAGTCTCAGATGCACCTGTTCCCTCAGTCACCGCTATAAATGTCAGATTTGCCTTTTTGAGAATGACCCCAAGGAAAGCGACTGGCCCAGGTGGAGTCCCCGGCCATGCACTCAGATCCTGTGCAGACCAGCTGGCAGAAGTATTTGCAGACATCTTTAATCTCTCCTTGCTACAATCTGAAGTCCCCAGCTGGTTCAAGAAAACTACCATAACCCCGGTACCAAAGAAAACACAGGCAATGTGCCTCAACAACTACCGCCTGGTGGCTCTGACCTCCATAATCATGAATTGCTTCAAGAGACTAGTCATGGATCACATCAAGTCCAGCCTCCCAGCCTGCCTTGATCCCTTGCAATTTGCCTACCGGCACAACTTGCCCACAATAAACACCATTTCCCTAGCCCTACATTCATCCCTGGAATATGTGGATAATAAGGATACCTACATCAGGCTTCTATTTATCAACTACAGCTCTGCCTTCAACACTATAACCCCAACAAAACTAATCTCCAAACTCTGAGACCTAATTCGCAGCTCCGCCATCTGCAACTGGATCATCAGCTTCTTGACCCACAGACCTGATCAGTGAAGATTGACAACAGCTCCACGATAATTGTCAAAACCAGCATGCGGCAAGGATGTATACTCAACCCCCTACTGTAATTCCTGTACACTCATGACTGTGTGGCCAAATTTCGTTCAAACACCATCTACAAGTTTGCTGATGACACCACTGTTGTAGGACATCAAGCAAGGATGAGACAGAATACAGGAAGGAGACAGAATGCTTGGTATCATGGTGCAAGATAACAAGCTCTCCCTCAATGTCAGCAAAACTAAATAGCTGATCATCAACTTCAGGAGGAAATGAAGAGGAAATCCCCCTATCTACATCAATGGAGCTGAAGTGGAGAGGGTCGAGAGCGTTAAATTCCTGGGAATGACGATCACCAATACTCGGTCCTGGACCACCCATGTAGATGCAATGATCAAGAAGGCACAACAACACCATTTCTTCCTCAGGAGGCTAAGGATATTTGGCATGTCCATAAGGGCTCTCACCAACTTTTACAGATGCACCATAGATAGCATTCTATCTAGGTCCATCACAGCTTGGTATGGCAATTACTCTGCCCAGGACTGTACGAAACTATAGAAAGTTGTGACCATCATGAAAGCCAACGTCCCATCCGTTGACTCCATCTACACTGCTCGTGGCCACGGAATAGCAGCCAACATCATCAAAGACCCCTCCTACCTTGGTTATATTCTCTTCCAACCTCTCCTTCAAACAGAAGATACAAAATCTTAAACAAGCATACCAGCAGGTTCAAGAACAGCCTCTTCCTTGCTGT